TTTAAGCTCTGAGGGAAAACCTTCAGATAAAAATTACATTTGCACTAAGTACAGTCATGCTTAAACGAACAGATATCAAACTGAAGACCTGCTTCAATATAAAACTTTACATATCATATCATAAATAACTTATTATGCACTTTTTGAGAAGGCCTAACTTAATACTTAAGGGAAGTCGCTACTGAAAAATTGCCAATTTTGTAAAAAACATGATTTTTTTTATTATTTTTTTATCTTGTTCTATGGATTGTAAAGTTTCATAAAAACATAACATTCGGTAGGCCTATACCTAATACAGTAGAGTCCCGCAAACTCGGCGTAATGTGGACTGGAAGGGTGCTGAGTTTGTGAAATGCCAGGTTATCGGGAACTAGGGCTACATATAAGGACAATACAGTTTTTAAGCTTTTTAACCTTCTTTTTTTTATATTACAAGTCAGTATTAAGTCATCAGATATAGTTAAAAAAATCCTTGGTACGAGTTGTGAATGATTTTACTTGAGCTGGCTTGAGTCCATGTTTAACTCGGACTCAAAATATCACAAATTTTCTGAGCCAGGTGATGGCCGAGTTATCCAGACTGCCGGGTTATCGAGTGCCGAGTTTGCGGGACTCTACTGTATATATTTTTATCACTGTGAAAAAAATATTTGAAGTGAAGCTTGCACACCTCTTTTGGGGCATCAACTAGGCCTAGTAACTTCAACCGCTGTTTTCCGCGACTTTAAATTTTTTTTTTTAAGTTCTTATAACTTACAGTAACTAGCCTGAATGAAATTTTTACCATACATTGTTTATACTATAAATCAACTTTATGTGCATGGATATTGTAATTGAATAAATAAAAGTACATGAAAAAAATTATAAAAATGTCTATAATTGCCTATAAATTTTTCTAAAACTTATTTTTGAAGCCATAACTTATAAACTAATTGAGAAAATAACATGAGTATGCACAGAAAGTTTGTGCTTTCATTGCTCTTTAAAATGAGATATCAAGCAATAAAATTGGTTCAGTAGTTAAATAGTTAGCCTATAAGAGATTAACCCTCCGAGCGTCCCTAGTTTAGGCCTTAATGTCTGCCTATTTTTTGCGCATTTGCAAGGTTTTATTAAAACGGATCTGAGAAGTTTAAAAACAATGTTAATTATACCGTTCTATATACCATTTTGTTTGTAAAATCATGGGCTTCAATATTATACATAAAACATAAGGAACATTTGTTTCAACAAAATTTTTTAGGTAAAAAAAAATTATTTTGGAAAATTAAAAAAAAAAAAGTTTGCGCTCAATGAAATTGTATAAGTTGTTAAAAAAAAACCTACTTCTTCAGGATCATCAACCAGCCCTTCAAAATCACTTAAATCTTCTTATAAAGCACCACGTATATCACTACTTTTGATTTTTAACACTAAAACAATGATAAACGTAATAAAACACATCAGTCATCAGTGCGAGGTTAACCAAGCTGTTTACAAATACGCACGTCATCTGTCTGCTACAATTATAATCGTCTCGAGAAAAAAAAGCGCTTAGAGACAGACCTAGGGAGAAAGCTTAGAATGTGCCAAATAAAACGATACCTAACTCGATCCAGTTCAATCCGATTTTGTCAGTCATAGAGCCTTCGCCATAAACAGTGTTTGTGAGTCGAAGCTTCGACACAAAACACTACACAAAGTGTGTTATGTGTCAAAGCTTCGACAAATAAGACTCGGAGGGTAAAAAAAAACCCATTTTTCCCCCAAAAAAACTTTAAAAACTCCAAAAAGTATGTAATTTTTTTTTTCTTATTTTAACAATAGTAAATCTTTTTCTAAGACTAAAATGAACTTTAAAAAGTAGCCTATATATGATAATTTTTAAAAGGATTATTTTTGTTATCACTAGCACGAATAGGCCTACTAGAAAAATACTGGTATGGATCATAAACATAAACAAATGACATTTTTGGCCCGAAAATAAACATTATTTAGGCTAACATTGCTTAAATGGAACTGCCAAAACATATGTTCAATGCTATTAGTATAGGATTCGGGCCAACAACGTCATTTTGTTTATGTTTATGATCCATACCAGTATTTTTCTAGTAATCGTGATCACTAGTTTCAGTAGCGACTCCCCTTAAACTTGGATAAACTTTGCACAATATCACTTGGATTTACAGGCTACCATTTAGGGTTTAAACTTATGGGAGCTGCTCGATGTAGGGCCCTGAGGACTGATGTATAGGCCTATAGCCTAAGTTATTGACTTATGCGTTAAATTATGGTAAGGTAACTCAGACTTAGATCAACCATTCAACCAAGGACAGTACCTATTTCTACTAAAACTTTAAGTAGGCCTAGGCTAACTTAGACGTTTTATTATAGTGGAATAGAATACAGAATAGGACTGGCCTCTGAGGAGGTAGGGGATGCGACGTTGCCACTTCGTTCTTGGCTGGTGAGCTGACTTTCACCTAGAGCCGGGGAGCGGGCGCGGGCATCCCTCTGACTCTGTCTTCCCACTTGTAGGGTAGTTAAACACTACAAATTATTAATTTTTTGGCGGTATTGGTTAGTGTTGTCATGTTTATATCACATGGAAGATACATTCATCCCTTACATGATTATGGATAGATTATTTGCACAATTAATGACTTAAACCGCTACTAGATTTAGTTTTTGAAAAATATATTAACATACAATTAATAAATATAAAATGAAAATAATTTTATATAGGGTCACCTTTCCAAGTCTCTGGAAATATGTTGCCTATAGTCAAACGTTTGTCAACCCCAATTTTTAAACAAATCACCGTAACAATAAGAGCAAATGAATACAGTCCAAAAACTTTTATAGCAGTTCTAAAAATCTTGTAAATTGTTGCCCTGCTTATAGTTTGATACATAAAACAAATTAACATGGAAATGAAGAAGGTAAAATCTTCCACATTAAACATTTACAGCAATAGTTTGGTTGTGTTTAGGAAACGAAGTTGGTCAATGTTTAGGAATTACCCCAAAGCTGCCTTTCTTTGAACACCTATTGTGACCCTCACTCCGTTAATCTTATTATTGCCACTCGACTGAACTTAAACTTACGGAGAACAGGTAGATCAATAGTGACGAAGACATTTCTGTAATATTGTGATTTGACAAAAAAGTCCGTTAGTATATTGAATTTAAGAAAATTGAACTAACGTTTACATACATTAAGTTATGTGTTGCATTCATTAAAATAGTCATACGATATATTCAGTCTTCTATAAAAAAAAAAAAAAAAACTTCTAATGTAGGTACTCTAGAAATCCTCAAAAAACATACCAGGTAAAAAGGGAAATAGATAACATAACTGCCAATTTATTGCCAAAATGACATAACTATTTTTATTACATTGCACTGGAAATTGTTACATACAAATATTTACAAAAGAAAATATTGACGTATGAAACTTAAATAAAATGTTTAAGGGACAAAGACATTTTCATCTAGGCCTATCAAGATATTTGCATTACGTAAAGAAAAACCACGTCCGACGTTACGATATCGCAAACGTTTCACGTGTACTCGTGGTCGTCCACGTCGCGTACTGTTGTCCGTATTCATTGGGCGAAACACAGTTCATAGACGAATTCTTGACAAAACAGGAGGGTATACTAGAAACGCACAGGTCGGCTATCGGGCAGAGACTGAGTGCGTGGCACAACTTGGCAACAGTGGACAGTTTTCTAAAAGCTGATTGGATGCCACATGCCCCGCCCCACCCGACTCGAACTGGTTTCGGTCCTATTCTGTATTCTATTCCACTATAGAGATGATCGAGAGTGAGGCTGGAGATTGGCAGGGAGAGGCTTTTCTTACTTTGGGCCCAAGTTGTATATCGACCTCCCCTGTGATCTTAAGCTGCTGGGTGTTCCAGCTTTCAGAAATAAAATTTAAAAAATGTATAAAGCTGTGAATGAAGTACCTACCTCAAATTTTGTAAACAGACTAAAATGGAAATGTAACTTAAATAGAACTTTTTGCTTGTATAAGCTTATATACTTTCTGATTAGATTATACTTTCTGATAAAAAATAGATTATAGGCTTACTTTCTGTTATTAGTTTTATCTAGTATTAGTAAATTGACAAGAGTTATCCTGTAAAGCAGTATATACTGAGGAACGCTTGCTAAATAAAGGCATTTTTTATTTGATTTGATCTAGCTTAAGTTAAATTACTCAAGCTGGTCTCAATTAGACCTTAGAAATACATCTATTATTTGTAAGGGAGTTTGAGCCTGTTGATTGGATGAATGTTCAGGGATAAATTAACTTATGTTTGGTTGCTTCTCTATTGTATATTGTATAAGTTATTTAAGTTAGGCCTAACTTACATAAGTTTACATTTTTAAATGCACAACGATGCCTCCTAGACCCTAGGCCTAACTTATACAGCATGATTTTAACTTAGATGCCCTTAAAATCTATAAAATAAGAGTTGGGCCTAACTTATAGCCTACAAAAGTTTGCTTTTTAACAATAATAAAATTCTACTTCATACAATATGTAGATCTTGGCCCAGTTTATTACCCAAACTTAGACCTATTGAGTAAAAGCAAAAGCTAGCCAAAGCCTATTGCCATGGAAACTAGTCAGGTCTTGGGCAAAGCTGAAGAACTTAAGCTATAAAACATCTTCACATTTTCCTCGATGTTCTAAGAATCACATTCAAATAAATCAATTAGATGGTCATTGGAACTTATGAGTTTAAAATAATTCACATAGGCCTAGTTTGACATGTAGTAAACACATTAACATAAATATTAAGCAGTAAGAAAGTTTAAGATAAGAGACAAAATACCAACAACCAATACAGTGGTTGCTATAGTGAGAATTAATTAAATACAACAAACAGGACCATTATGTGAACAGAAATAAGTAACAATTAATTAACTTACATTGGAAACACATCCTTACTATTATAGCATGTATTTGATCAACAATTTCTTATAGGCCTATTGTAATAATACTTACACATCACTAAATTGCTTTGATCAACTGACTTGACTACACGATTAACATATTAACACAATACACATACAGCAGAGGTTCGATTCCGCTGAGGCCTTACTCCGCGCCCAAAGTTCACTGTGTCTACTATTAACTTTACCGCGAATTTTGAGATGTTACAAAAATATTAAAAATACGTCGGTTTGAAACCATAAAATATTTAGAACTTTGTTTTCAATTGAAAATCCAACAATTATAGTTGATTTTTAATTCTAAAAAGTAATTGAATTGCCCAAGCAAAATGTCTACATTGTCTACTGATAAGATAGGTTAACAAAAAGAAAAAGATTGCCGGCTGGGAGTTACAAAATACAAACTCTAAACACACACAGACACAATGTCCATTTTATTCTGCTGCTGCTACAATCATGGCATGTGGCGTTAACGTCGACTTACTATATAAAGTTACTATAGTTCGGCCGCTTAGAAAGCGACCTCCTCCAGCATTGGTTTAGCATTAGCGCGCAGACGTTGGTCCTGTCCTAATGTGGTTATGTCAAATGCTCGTTCCTTTTCAAGATGAGCTCGTTCGCATAACTCAATCACGTCTTGGTTGAAGTTCGTTCGCTATGCTCACTCACCTTTAGGTTGGAGCTCGTTCGCTCGCTGCGCTCACTTGCCTTCAGATTAGCTCGTTCGCTACACTAACTCGCTTCCAGGTTGAAGTTCGTTCGCTACGCTCACTCACCTTTTGGTTGCAAATTGCTGTTGTCGTAAATGTAAATAAACGGTATCAGCATTCTGACTCATACTTTCTCCCATAGTACAGGTAAAATAGGGTTTTATAAACAACAAAATTTGTACATTCATGAAATTTCACCTGTGAGTTACTAATAATATGAGAAATGAAGATCCGATGAGTCCCCAAAATTTTGGGCGTGCTAAGGCCCTTTTTGGCCCCCGTGCGGTACCGGGTTAGAATAGGACCGCAGCCTTCTCGGGCTTGTCGTAAGAGGCGACTAAAAGGGTGACCGACGAACTCACTGGGAGTCCCTGGGAGTGCCCCTGTTGTGTTGCAGGGGTTGATGTGTGCTCTGCACTGCCGATGGGTATTCTCAGTGGGTCGTGAGAAACCAGCCACTTCGGTCCTTGGTCAGGGAGTGCGGCATGGATGCAGAGGTCGGGCTCTGCATTGCGACGGGCGACCCCCGGCACGTCAGGTATCCGGTGCTGGGCAAACGGAGGTCGGGCCCCGGGGTAGGGGTTTTTGTCCCCGAGGGTATACCCGTTCCTGACTGATTCCGGGCCGCTCCTTGCCGCACGATGCGCTGGAGAAAACACGATGAGTTTTGATAAAAATACCCCAAACACATCATTGAAGAGGAGCTCAAATGAGCAAGTAAATTCGTTTGAAGTGGAGCAGAGCCCTTTTGTCCGAAGCTCCAAACTTAAGAGGTCGCCACCACCGAAAAACGTGAGGACATCTCCGCCACCTGCACCTTTCAAGTGCTCTACGATTCCCCCGTTAGGATCTCCTTCGGGAAGTGGAGCTGGGAACGGGACAGAAAATGTTGGTGATGTAGATGCTGTAGGGATGCCGAAGGAAACCCTCACAGCGACGTCGCGGTCGGAAAGCTCTGAGATTGTGCTTCTGCGTCAGGAATATCTTGACGCAGATAGTAACACTGAAACCCGGCTCCGTGACATGGAAAAGACCATTAAGGCTATGCTGGACACCTTCCGGACCCAGAGAGCCGTAAATCAAGTGGTCAAAAATGGAATGGCCAAACTAGAGGATGACCTTGGCTTTGTCTTTGCCTGCCGTCTGGTAAGCAAGGCGACCATGGAAAAGATTGCCGAAAAGGTAGTGTCCCTGCCCGATGAAAGAGCGCTGCCTTCTAAGAAACGTCAGAGGCCTTCCACATCGGAGAGTCCTCCAAAAAGAGAAGAAGGCGTCCAGACCAAAAAGTCCACGGTTAAGGCCAAGGCGACTCAGACGGACCTCTCGTCTGCTGTGTCCAGATCCTTTTCGGACGTAGCTGCAGCTCCAGCGAGGCGCCGACAGGCACAGCAACCCACGACCCCCCTTCAGGGAAGTTCCCGAAAGGGGTCAGTGGTGGAGACACCTGAGGCTGTGTGGGAAAAATGCCTTTCCAAAAAGGAGAAGAGGCAATTGAGGCGGGCGGAGGTCGCCTCCATGAAAAATGAGGCAGTGAAGGCACAGCCAACTGGCGTGGCCCAAACTGGGCCCGGCTCGGCCCCTGCTCCGAAAAGGTCGCGGCCCAAAAAGCCCAGGACGGAGGCAATCCTTGTCAAACCCTCAGGGGGGAGATCTTTTGCCGAGGTCTTGGGCGTAATAAAGGCCAAAGCTAAACCGGAGCAGACCGATACGGTTGTACGGTCGATTAAACAAACCCGGGAAGGGGACGTTCTCCTTGAACTGGGTAAGTCGAAAGACAAGGCTGCTTTTACTGCCGAACTGAAGGCAGCTGTTGAAGGCCAGGGCACCGTCCGTGCTCTTGAGCCCAAGACATCAATTGAGGTTCGAGACATTGATTGTGTGTCGACGGAGAGTGACGTTGTTGAGGCCCTGAAGAAAGCTGTACCCGAGCTTGCCGGGCAAACGGCCATCCTAAGGGTTTGGCTCACAAAACCCAATAGGAGTCAGCAGCGGATGGCAATCGCCGAAATGGCAGACGCGCTTGCCACTAGGGTGCTGGCACTCCAGCATCTGAGAGTCGGCTGGGTCAACTGCAGGCTCAGACGGAGAGTGGAAGTGAAGAGGTGTTTTAAATGCCTCTGTTTCGGCCATTCCTCCCGAAACTGCAAGGGACCCGACCGAAGCAAGAACTGCCTTCGGTGCGGGGAGGTTGGTCACATCCGTAAGGACTGCAAAGTCGAGTCCTGTTTCCTTTGCAAAGAAAATGGGCTCGCTGACAAACATGTAAAGCATATAGCTGGGTCTGGGCAGTGTAGTGTATTTAAAACTGCTCTACAGCAAGCGAAATCTCTCCCACGAAGATAAGAATCCTTCAGTGCAATCTGGAGCGATCCAGGACGGCTGACGCACTTCTTTGTCAGTTTGCCCTCGAACACGATGTCGACGCTCTCTTAATCAGCGAACAGTACCAGTATCGAGATAGGGACCCATCTTTATGGTTCCCTGATAGTCTTGGTACTGCTGCATTCTGGGCTCGTAATGCAGCTAAAGTACAAGTGCGGGGTCACGCGAATGGCCGAGGTTTCGTTTGGGTTCGGTGCAGGGATGTCACTTACTTCAGTGTCTACCTTACTCCCAACGAGGCCATCCGTGACTTTCGTGAGAAGATAGACCGCCTAGAAGAGAGCGTGCGCAATACCACAGGACACGTCGTCGTGGGTGGGGATTTTAATGCTAGGGCTGTCGAATGGGGAATGACCCTCACAAATTCCCGGGGCAAGTACATTCTGGACTTTGCTGCCAGAGCCGGACTCGTTGTCGTCAACGAGGGCAACACGCCAACTTTCCGGCGCCCTGGGATGCGGGGAACGATCCCAGACATTACCCTTGCATCTGAGTCTCTTTTGCCAAGGATCAGAGCCTGGAGAGTCCTGGAGGATTACACGGCCAGTGACCACCAGTACATAATTTTTGACGTCCTGGATGGTCATCAGAGACAAGTGGCAGCGTTTCGTCAAGTGCCCGTTCGATGGAACATTAAAAAACTGGACGTGGCAAAATTCAACGGAGCCATCCTACGAAGAACGCCGGTGGTTCATCCTGCAACTGGCGTGCCTCACGCAGAGGCGTTAGTTGCATCCACGATGAAACTGATTGTCTCGGCCTGCGATGAGTCTATGCCTCGCAGGAGATACCGGTGCAACAAGCGTCCTGTGTACTGGTGGACTGCCGAGATTGCGGAATTGCGTCGAGCGGCATTGAGGGCCAGAAGACTTGCTACCAGGGCTAGAGAACCCCTAGACAGACGGCGTAAGTCGGATGCTTATAGGGTGGCTAGGAGGTATCTTCGTCGAGCCATCAATCGGAGTAAACGCAGTTGCTGGGATAAATTAAGGGACGATGTTGATTCCAACCCGTGGGGCCTGGGTTACAAACTTGTAACCAAGAAACTTGGAACCCGTTCACCACCTTCCGTCATGGACAGGGTCACTATGGAGAGGATAGTCGAGTCCCTTTTCCCGGCTCACGCGTTGCGCCCACTGCGGGATTATGGAAGGGTGGACGACGTCCCACTTTTCAGCCCTGAAGAGCTGGTGGCGGCCGTCATATCCCTGAAGAACAACAAGGCTCCTGGTCCCGATGGGGTGCCCGGTGAAGTCCTCAAGAAGGTTTTGACTACCAACCCCTTGATCCTTTTGGGCATGTACAACGCCTGCCTGGTTGAAGGGGTATTCCCCTTGTGCTGGAAGACAGCTAGGCTTGTGCTTGTTGGGAAGGGCAAGGGAGACCCAGATCTGCCATCCTCTTACAGACCTCTGTGTATGTTGGATACGGCTGGCAAAGTCCTCGAGAAATTGATCCGTTCCCGGCTAAATTCAGCCGTTGTCGCTGCGGGGGACCTCTCCCCTCGTCAGTATGGATTCAGGATGGGGCGATCAACGATTGATGCGATTGAGGAGGTGAAGCAAGCCGTGATGAGAGCTGAGGATTTTACCCACTACTCTCGCAGGGTTGTGCTGCTCGTAACGCTCGATGTGCGAAATGCATTTAATTCGGCGAGGTGGTGCGATATGCTGGATGCTCTGGAGAACACCTTCCACGTGCCGGCATACCTCATGCGCATCATAGAGGATTATCTCCGGTTTCGCCTCCTAACGTATGACACTGCGGAGGGCCCGCGTACGATGAGTGTCACTTCTGGTGCTGCCCAAGGTTCCATACTCGGCCCAGACCTCTGGAACGTCGCTTATGACAGCCTTCTGAGGTCTGAAATGCCTGAGGAAACGGTCTTGGTTGGGTACGCAGACGACGTTGCAGCTTTGATAGCTGCACGTAGCGTTGAGCTGGCTCAGCTAAAGCTAAACCGAGTTATGCGTACCATAAACGCATGGATGGCAGACCACGGTCTCTCGCTTGCTCTGAGCAAAACCGAGATCGTGATTTTGACAAAAAAACGGATTGACACCATCGTGCCGTTGAGGGTGGGAGCCGTCGAGGTTCAAACTGTTCGTTCTGCCAAGTATCTTGGGGTCATGGTAGACAGCAAGCTTAGCTGGCGGGATCAGATCTTCCGTACAGCGGACAAGGCCGCTAGGGTGGTTTCTTCTCTTAGCCGGTTGATGGCCAATGTCGGAGGGCCTCGGTCCAGTCGTAGAAGGCTGTTAATGTCTTCGGTCC